AAATCTATCTCCAGATTAGACATGATAGTTATTACCAGTCTTCATTGTTTCAGCTATTGATGGACCTTTTGAATACGTTTATGTTCTGGGCCCCTGTATGGTAAGTACAAACCTGGTTATGATGGACGTCTCAGTTCAGTGGAGACAGAGACAGATAACTAAAATACAGATGGTTACATATTACAGAAGACGTCTTTACAATACTGTAGTGCAATACAAGAAATCCACAGTTGAAACGGGGTGAGAAAAGGCTTTAGAACAAGTGACACTGTTAGATTCTATAAGGCTAGAGAAGAGCCTGCCGATTTGGCTAGGTAGGGGCGATGGCTAATCTTAGTTGTCAGCTTGTCACAACTGGGAGGAAAGAACCTCAGCTGAAGAACTGCCTCCATCAAACTGAATGTGGGCTTGTCTGTAAGGACATTTTACCAATTTCTAATTAATGTAGGAGGTTCTAGCCCACTGTGTGCAGTATCATCCCTAGGCAGATGGGCCTGGGCTGTTTAAGAAATGTTATTGAGCATGAATATGGAACCAAGCAGTAAGTATCATTCCTCCATGGTCTCTGCTTTAGTTTCTGTCTCCAGGCGTCTGCCTTGAGTTCCTGCACTGACTTCCCACAATGATGAACTCTGACTTCAAAGTGTAAGGTGATATAATGCCTTCCTTCTCCAAGCTGCTTTAGCTCAGAGCCACTTATTACAGCAACAGAAATCTAACTTGGACAGTGGGGACAGGCACTCCAGGCAAAGGGAGTGATGCATCATGTATGAGGCCCATGCAACTGAGACAAGAAGGTTTTTTTTTCCTATCTGGGGAGCAGAAAATATTGACTATGAAGGAGAAGAATGAAAGCACGTAGAGACCCGTGTAAACTTCCACTACGGTAAAGAGGCAGGATTCACAGAGAACAGCAGACGTTGGATAGGCATGGAGCCAGGGGGTGATGAGATGATACTGGGACTCACAAAGAAATTTCCACAAGGTGTGGAGATTATTATGAGGGGGAGATAAGATTGCAGGCAGAAAGACCAGTTAAGAGGCTATTGCTGGAGTTCTTAGGATTTAGACCTGAACTTTCTCCCCGCCGCCTCCCTCTCCCTCTCTCTCTCTCTCTCTCTCTCTCTCTCTCTCTCTCTCTCTCTCTCTCTCTGTGTGTGTGTGTTGCAGGAGCTTTAGAAAGTACAACTGACTGGCTGAGTTGAAACCCTGGATGTTACGTGAAGAATATGAGAATAGTGTATGAATGTCAAATGACTGTTAGAACCCTGGCTGCTGTCATTTACTGAGCTGAGGAAATAAAAGGAAAATAAGTTAGAATGACAACATGAACATAAGTGATTTAGTTGTGGACATTCAGTATCTTGAGTATCCTGTGGAATGAAGAGCCAGGGGTTTTCAGGAGGCATCTGTAGGTGAGTGTCTGGACCACTGAAACCAGACGCAGGACTTTCAGGTTAGCATATTTACACTATCACTCCGTAACACTCACAAATGCTATGCCCAGAGAGTGAAGGTGCCTTCCCAACTGCCTCTTCCAAGAGCAGATGAAGGGCTGGTACTCCCAGTGTGGAATGTGGAGCTCAAATCAACAACAGTGTTGCCATGGAGTTGTCAGCAAGTGTATTGTGTTCCTCACAAAATACGTTTCAAGGGGAAAAGAACTTTTGCCACATCTTAAAGAACAGAAGCAATGGTATTCCTGGAGAATCATAGGGGAAAGGAAACATTGGGCAGACACCAAACTTTTCATGAGGTATCTAAACAACCTCACGTTCCCCTTCTGTAAAAAGCTGTCTTTCTGATGTTCCAGCCGAGCAGCACGCATTTTAATAGGTATTATTATCAATGTCAAAGTCAAAGTGTTTAAAAAAATTTGAATCAGAAAACCAATCCAAAGATAGGGGGAAAGTTGAAGTGACATTACTGCTAATTTGGGTCTAACATGACAATGTGCCTTCATACCTGATACCTCAGGGACATAATTTCATGTATGGCAGATGCCCATTCTTGTTGATAGTTTCTGCTAAGCAAATGATAGGATGGGAGCAACATATCCATTGGCTACACATGTGTTAATAATGATTACAAACTTGCAGGGAGGCATTTCACACACTTCCTTGGCAGAACTCACAGGGATGGAGAATGGGTGAGAGCCCAGCTTCCTGAGAAGCACCTTGCTTTCAATTGTTCTGTGCTTTGGAACATTTTTATGGGAATAATGCTGTCACTAGGTGCAAAAGACACTGCAGAATTGTGCTTTTTAATGAAAGTAGGTTGTTATGAGTTCTGTCTCCAGAGTCCTGCAAGAGAAGAAGGCAAAGTTCCTAGTGAAGAAGCTTCAGCAAGATGCTAAGTTACTGTTTTAGACTTGTGTGGCTTAACAACACAGTGCTAATTCTTGACCAAGCCACTCTGGGAGATTTTGTTCTGGCCTCTGGGAGGAGAGGTGGGCTATAGCCTGGTGGAGGTGAAGAGTGCTGCAGTGTCAATGGAATGAGCCAACATGCTTCACTCCAGCATGTTCACTGGAGAGATCATGTGGAAGGTAAGAGGGAGGAAGCATGTCTAGAGACAACATATTTGGGAAGACCTCTTCCTCTTCCCATGAGGGAGATTCACAGTGGAAGGATGCTGAGACTTCCCACAGTGAAGAGAACTTCCAAATTTTGTCTGAACATTTCTAAAATACATCTCACCTCAGATTCTATTTTCATGCCTATTACCAATCGATTGAACTGAGGGATTTTTATAACTCACTTTAGGAAATACAGCTAGAGGCAAATCACATGGGGAGGAGAGAAAACATTGATTTTTTTTCCTGTGAATATATTTGATCAAGTTAAAATACCTTTGCAAAACTGGGTATGATGGCGAAAACCTGTAATCCTAGCACTCGGGAGGTGGAGACACGAAGACCAGGAATTGAAGGTGATCATCAGCTATATAGAAAGTTCAAAGCCAGTTTGGAATAACATGAGACTTTGTTTCCAAACAACAGCAGCAGGAGCAGCACAGCAGCAGCAGAAGCAGCAGCAGCAGAAGCAGCAGAAGCAGCAGCAGCAGCAGCAGCAGCAGCAGCAGCAGCAGCAGCAGCAGACTCCTTTTATCTCTGGCCCTTTTTTGTTGTTCTTGAAATAGAGAGTTGCTGGGTAATCGAGGCTGGGCTCAAACTTGTATTCCTCCTACCTCATCCTGGAAGTGCTGAGATTCTAGGCATAAGCTACCACCCCTGACCTGGCTGTGGTTACTAAAAACTTTTCTAGAATGTTAAAGTTCACTGAACTGACCTATAGAGTAAAAGAAAAAAAATAAATCAATGAAATGGACAGCAAGATGTCCCAGTGAGTAAAAGTGCTTATCACCAAGCCTGATGGCCTGAGTTTGAGCTCCAGAACTCACATACTGGAAGGAGAGAATCAATGTCTAGAATTATGCCTGCATTTATGTGATCTCTCTCTCTCTCTCTCTCTCTCTCTCTCTCTCTCTCTCTCTCTCTCTCTCACACACACACACACACACACAAACACACACACACACATGTTTAAAGGACTCACAAATTCACTGGAATGTTATTGGCCATAAAATATTAAAATTCTAACATCCGTGGAAACATAAATTAATGCAAAATATATTAATGTTAAGTGAAACAAGCTAGCCATACCAAGACCGCATGATCTCCCCAGTATATGAAATGTAAAAGAGTTGATATTGTAGAAGCACAGAACAGAACAGTAATTATTGGATACTGAGGAAGAGTGGCAAGTGGGAAGGGTGGGAGCGGTTGGCCCACAAAAACAATGTTGCAGTTGGATCGGAGCAAGAAGTTCTGGTGATCAGTTATACAATAGGGAGCCTACAGATAAGAATAGCACATTGTACATTTTAAACTGGCTAGAACAGTTTTTGCGTGTTTCACCACAAAGGAATGAGAAATACTTGAATTGATGAGGATGCTAATTATGCAGATTTGATCATTGTACTTTGTGTGTTCATATATCATAACTTCACCCTGTACCTGCAAGATCTGTATAAATTTTATATGTGCAATTATTTGTTAAAAAACAAAAAATTGTAAAAGACGAATTCTTTGTTTCATGACTGAGAATTACGAACAAGCTTTGGGTCTCCATAATGGATCATGAGATGGACAAAGTTAATGCACACTGATGTACAATGCAGCTTCTAACCTAAGAAAATTGCATGAATTATCTGTCCTCCCTCTGCCCTTCTTCCCTCCTTTTTTTGCTTTTGCTCCTTTTAGACAGGGTCTCACTGTGTAGCCAAGGCTCTTCTCAAGCTCACGAGCCTCCTGCCTCAGCCACCCAAGTGTGTCACATCATCTAGCTGCTGCTTTCCCCCTCTTCTCTATTTCCACTATCTTTCTCAAGCTGTTTAGGGAGTGAAAAACTTCCAAAGGAAGTCTTCACAGAAGGAAGGAAAGGCACAGACTTTATCTGCCTAGAGACTGTGAACTTCTGGACAAAGAGCGATAAACTTCCTTTTACACCCAAAATGGGAGCACAGGCATTTTCAATCAATCCCCGCCTCCATCCCTAAATTGGCCTAGTAGGCTAGCTGACTATAATCTTGCCCCAAGCCTATCCACTCTATCCTAGTGTACTGATGTATTAAGACACCTTTGTCTCCTTTGCTTTGAGCTTGACTTACAGTTGTCAAGTTAATTTTGTGGTTGTGAGCTTCTAGGAATAGTCTTGCATTTTCACTTGTTTTGTGACTGCCACTCTTGCTACAAAAAGTACTCAGAAGTACATTTTTCTGGAGTTATTGCAAGGCTCTCTCTGTCTCTGTTAAATCTCTTTCTCTTCTCGTGCTACTTTCCTAGTACTCTGTGTTGAAAGAAGAACTTTCTCCTACCCCAGACCCTTTGGGTAGATCTGCAGAGAGCCCTTCTAGCCCATCGAGAGATACTGATGAAATTGCCATGGAAAATAGAACAAGAAGACAGAAAGAAGGCAAAAGAGAGATGTGAGTCTTACGTGGAGAAGGCGTTGTTCTGTCTCTCACACCGGATCCCCTTGCAGTTGTTAGGTTCATCGATAGCTTTGGTCTCATAGTAAAAATAAAGCTGGTTCAGTCCATTGGCAAAAGCCAGCAGTACTAGGCAGTAGATAAAGAGGAATTTGAGTATATCGAGCAGCATGCGTCCCAAAGAGATCTGCAGAGGCCCTAAGTGGGAGTTGGCTGTGAACAAGGATATGAGACGCAAGGAACTTAAAATGTTGGATATTGCAAAGAGCGCCTCTGCAATCAGAGTCGGGTGCCACATTTCCCATTCCTCCCTTGGACGAGAACCATTATACTGAAAAAGAAAAAGAAAACAACAGAAGTGCACAATATGAGAAGTACAGTGAGCCTTTCCAAATCTTCCCCTTTGTACCCGTCCACACACAAAACATGCACCCGACACCCAGCTTACATAAAATTCCCCCGTGCATGGCACTATTTGTTTGTCGTTTTTGCCCCATTCAATCAGTACACGGTGCTAATAACTCTCTCCCTCCTACTCTTCTCCAAATATATACCAAGCATATATACATAGCAGAAGGAATTTCGGAGTCATCATCTGCAGCAGCCACCTGGGGTTTATCAACAGACATTTCTATCTGTGAGTTTACCAGACTGTTGTTGTGTGCTGCTGAAAAGGAGCCATTGGGGTGCTCAAGCTAGGAGGGACCAATTATTCCTCTTCTTGGTGAGATTTCAATTCAGATCTATGCTCCCCCCTCATTGACTCGAACACGTGGTCAATTTGAAGCTGCTTTAGGACAATAGACAGATACAACCTCCTCAGTGTTCATTCTCGAGGCTCTGCTGCCTACAGTTTAGGGCTGATAGAGAGTCCTTAGGGAGCCTTTCTTCAGAGCTTTCTGCTGCATTTTTAGCAGTTTGTAATATATTCTACACCATTGCAAATGGCATGTCAACCTTCCAGGTAGCAAATTTAGTACTTCTCTACATAGCAGCATATGGATGTATTTTACTGTTTCTTTAACAACCTTACAAGTTAGAAAGGCCTCCCAGTGCAAATGAAGAACCAGGAAGTTGAAGGAGAAGGAATAGCCAGGAGTTATAGGGTTGGTTGCCCATTTCCAGCCTCTTGAATGCCTCTAGCTTTTGAAATGTGGAGAATAGCCTCATAGAAAAGGGTGGGATGGTGAAGTCTGGACTCCAGTTTGGAAATTGTCACTTAAAACTGCCTGTAACTTTACCTTCACAATAAAAGGCGGCTAATGTCACTCCTTCCTGCTGTATTGTTTGTGGTACTGTGTTTATGTGCAAGAGTCTCTATACTCCAGGAGGTAGGATGGTATGGAAATATAATGGACTAATTGTTAACCCTTCCCAGGGACAGAGGTGGGTTTTGCCTGGAATTCAGTCTGAAGCACCATTACTTTATACTCTCATTTAAATATCCCAGATTTCTCTAGGACTAAATGTAGATGACTTTCCTGAGAAAATGTGTTGGGGCCCAAATTATCTTGTATTTCTCAAGTGTGATTCACTTCCAACAATCAATAAAATTGATGGTGTTAAAATCAATTGTGTGTGGCCAATATTCTTCATTGTCAGAGGAATAAGAGAGACCACGACACATGTGTGCTCCTGTTTCACATAGTCCTTTTGGTGACTGAACAAGTTTGTATAATCATTGCCAAATTTTCCATATTTTCCACATTTTCCTTCAAAGAAAAAAAGCAAACTAAAAACAGTTGCTGCATCTCCGTTAGCAAGTGGGTGTTATGCTGGTCTCACAAACGGAGAAACTGAAATCCAGAGAGGCTGAGTGACTTGCTAAAGATCACACAGCAAATTTGCTGATAAAGCCAGAACCCCACATATCTCGACATTAAGTCTAGCACTGTTTCCATAAAATGTCAGTCACATGGGGGTTGATCTCACAACACAGATGTTACAAAGGTTGCTACACATTGTGAGATCTATGTGAGAGGTGGAGATTATTTGCTGACAACCAAACAGTGCCCGTGTTTTAAAATGAGAAATAATCAGATGGCATATGTACAGTCTATAATTTATTTTACTTTTATTCTGTCTCTTCAGCACAGGGAAATCTGTTACCCACAGGATGGCGAATCTGAGTGTGTAGGATACTCAGAAGTATGAAAGACAATTCCCCCGAGACATTTCTAGTTTGCATCTTATATCTCTGAAGAACAGCACCTTAGCAGGGGGATGATTAGCTCAGAGTTCATCTAGCCCAGATGTCAACAGCATTTTTCGGTCAAGTGTCAGATAGTGCATAGTTTGAGCTTTGTCAACTGAGGGTCTCTGTTACAACTTCATAACACTTGCTTCCTTTGTAGCACTAAAATGGCCAAAGACAGTACATAGGCAAATGTATGTGACAGTGAGTCAAACTTGGTCCATTGACCATAGTTTAATAACCCATATTAATTTTGTGATATTGTATTGTAAATTTTAAATTGTAACTTTTAATTACATCTAATATTGTAAATGTTACACTGTATTTCTTAGACCCTCAGGGTTTAATGGAGGCATCTCATGGCTGTTGTTGGAGTCAAAAAAGTTGACGAGATGATACATTGCTCATGCCAAACTTAGCCCTTTGGGCTGTTTTATATATTGCAGTTCTGTGTAATCTCTGCTTGATGAAATGTTTCCATAGAATACAAAACTTGAAAACCACTAATGAAGTTTAATTTGCTTATTTTTCAGAGGCAGGACTGAGGCTTTGAGAGGCAAAGGGATTGGCTGGTGGTGATCTAGCTCACAAGTGTGAGCAGGGACCAGATCCCTGTGTCCAGAGGCTAGATTTTTGATACTGGGAAGTAAATGACTTTCCTTATATTCTTTGAAATGGATTGTCATTTGAAATTGGCCTCATTTTTTTTCAAAGAAGTGTGGATTACAATCTTTTAATCCAAAAATAAAATCTGAAGGGGAATAGCCTGACATGGGAACTTGACTATGGTGTGAACATGGAGAGGCATTTGCACCTATAGTAAAGTAAATGTTGAAGAACTACCCACAACTCAGTAAAGTCCAGATTCAGTCTGTGTCTGGGTCATGGTGAAGGAGGGATAAGACCTAAGTGATATGCTAGAAGCTGAAATGCTGATGCTCCTCCATTTGAAGGGGTGTGTGGGCACTGAGGGTCAAACATATGTAGAATTCTCATGGGTTACGTTGGTGAACATCTTTTGGTTCTTGTTGCTTTAATTCCTGTGAGGTGAAGTATGTGTTGTTAATGAATTTTTTTTTACTCTAATAAATAAAGAAAAATCTGGATCTGGGAAACGGTTTAGTGGGTAAAGTGCTTACTGTGACAAGAGCACCTGCGTTCAGATCCCTAGCAGTCATGTCAAAGTCAAATGCAGTGGTACAACCCTGCTGCTTAGGAGGGGGGTGGAGACAGATAGATCCCAGGGTTGTGCTGGCCAACCCTGCTAACTGAAGTGGTGAGTTTCAGGTTCAGGGAGACACCATGTCTCAAAAAATAAGGTAGAGAACCATTGAGGAAGACATTCAACAACATCCATTCACAAATGTGGACATACATGCACACACAGTTAAAAATAAATTAATAAATTAAGGAATTTTAAAATGCCGATTCATCTCATTTCAATACAATTCTGTATTGACTCCAAACAACTGATTTGAAGTTTTCTAAGGGGCCTGTGGAATGTTTTTTGTAACTTTTTTTTTCAAGACAGGGTTTCTCTGTGTAGTTCAGGCTGTCCGGGAATTCACTCTGTAGACTAGGCTGATTTCAAACTCACACAGATCTGCCTTCCTCTGCCTTCTGAGTACTGGGACTAAAGGTGTGCACCATCACTACTGGATGTGACTTCAGTCTTCATGGTTGTCTCATCCTTCTCGGGTAATGTCTAAACTGATTGCATTTTTGTGGATGAGAGGACCACACTCTTTCCCCTTACAAGTTCTGGGGGCTAGAGAGATGGATCAGTGGTTAAGACTACTCACTGCTCTTGGAGAAGACCTGCATTCAATTCCCAACACCCACATGGTGGCTCATAACTAATTGCCTGTAATTCCAAGTTTAGAGAATAGGACCACCTCTTCTAGTCTTTATGGTCACTAAACATATGCACACAAAACACTCATACACATAAATATGTTTTAAAAATCCAAATTCTGGCTGGGTGTGGTGGTACATGCCTTTAATCCCAGCACTCAAGAGGCAGAGGCAGGCAGAACATTATGATTCAAGGCTAGCCTGGTCTACAAAGCAAGTTTTTGGACAGCTAGGGCTGTTACACAGAGAAATCCTGTCTTGAAATAAAAAAATTCAAATTCTGCATGTGACATGTCTTATTTATGCTTCCTTAGAGTGGTAAGAGGCAGACTTTCTGGGCTTAGCAGAGTGAGTTTAGTATGCTTTGTGATGGAGAAATATTTAGCTCTTTGGAAGCCTTACCAGTGAAATTGGGAAGATGGTATGATTAACTGATGCTGAGCATCTGGAGACACGTTTTAATACCCCAGATAGAAAGAATTTTTTTTCATCAAGCATTCTAAACTTTCCTGCTTAAACAAAACCTAGCAATGTCAAGATTTATAAGTTATAGTTTCTCTACTTCTTAAGGAAATATAAAAATATAATATTTTTATTAATTTTATACATGCATAGAATGTAATTTTAAGGGAAAACTATATGACTTAGCTAAAGAGTGCCATGGAGTTAACCCAGGCAGCATTAACCAGAGAGTTAAACATTGTCTTCACCAGGCTTTTCTTCTAAGAAAGTTGTAAGTATGTGTTAAATGATCACCATACACATAAGGCATACTCTTGGGCTCCTTTCAAAAATGTTTCATGAATGCATTCAATATTCATGCTCTATATAACTCTCAAGGTCTTGCAATTTATGCAATATGCATATTAGGGATATAAAAATAAACTAAGTTGTTGGAGACTTGGGGGACAGCCATATTCCCATTCTCAAAGTCCTCAAAGTGAAATTTAGTATCAAAAGCAGGACTGACTAGACATCTTGGGGAATGAATTATCAGTCTTTACTGATGGGGAAAAAACTCAACTCTAGGTAGAAGGAGCACAGCCACACATTCTGTTAAGTACCAGACCTGAACTCAGACCTGTGATTATCCCCAAATACAGGGGCTTGTGAAGAGGTGCCTGGAACATTTTTTCCTTCACACTTGTTTCATTTGGCTTGGGGAAGGGCTGTATCTCTGTGGATGAGCAACCAGACATTACCCACTTACAGATGTCATTAAAAATTGAAATTGTGCACATTTTAAAACAATTTTCTGGATAACCTAAGGTGCTCATGCACAGGGAAAGGATCAACGTGATGGGGTGTGCACAGTATATATATTTTCTGAACTGGTAGAGGGATACTGAAAATTTGGGGTTTGTAACTGATCAAATGGTTATCTTGACAGAAGAAGTAATAAAGAAAGCAGAGGCTACTGTAGACCTATGTGCCACACAGCTTCTGTGGTTTTGCTGCTTCTCATATGAAGAATGGTGAGGGAAGTGGTGATGTTTGGCTTTGCGAACCAATGACTCCGAAGGTAAAGGAGAGCTGAACTTACCTATACCAGAGGTACAACTATAGAGGAAAAACCATTTTATTCTGTATGTCTCCATGGGGAGGAGGAGTTCCCAATGGATATGGCATGGGAAAATGTTAATTACATATGCAATAACTGGTTTTACTAAAGTGAAAACAGTTAGAGGCTTTGGGAGGAAATGGATTTAGTGAATTCCCTGGCCCTACCTCTATCAGCGTGCCATCTCCTTCAGAAGAACGTTTTTGATGTTTAAGCACTGAAAGGTGAAGACAGCTCTACCATGAAGTCTGAGAAGCTTAAGGATTCATCTGAAAAAAATTTTTGTTCTTCACTGCTTTGCTTAAGTAGACACTACTTAAAGACTATTGGGTCTCTGTAGGATTTTCTAACATTAATGGAACACTCATTCATTTTTCTTATTAACACTTCCTGCTCCAAGTTCAAAAGTTTATTGACACAACACATCCAAAATAATTGAGGAAGAAAAATGCTACACATTTCATTTTTACCTTGACATAGGCCACAATCTTCAAGGAAATAGTTGCCAGGTAGAGGGAGTTCATTGCAAAGTCCATTAAGTTCCACCAATCATGGATGTATTCCGTGAATCCACCATCCCACATTTCCTTTATCTCCCCCCAAATAAAACCTGAAGAATGGAGGCAAGAAGTTTATTTATTACTTTATCAAGGCAGTGTTGAACATCACAACAGGAGTCCCCCAAGTGAATAAGGAGGAGGTTCATGAATGAACTTGACTGAGTGGGTGAGACTCTGAGAGGTGGAGATCACTTAGGTCTCTTTTTGTCTACTCAACCTCCCAAGTTTGAATTTGTCAAACTTATGCTTTTCACTCCTCTAGGCACTCTTCACTTTCATTTTTCAAAATTTACATATGACGTCTTAGGTTTCATCGTGGCATTTTGAGACACAAATTATAATTTGCTTTTGTTGTTCCTAACCCCGCTTCTCACTCACCTCTCTTCCTCCCTTACTCTTCTACTCCTTTCTGCTTTCAAGTCCCATGTGTTCTAGTTCCTCTTCCTCAATACCCTTTTTCCTCACATGGTTTTCTTTCTATTTTTATGACCTCTATTCACACCCAACACTCATATATTTATCAGACCATTAAAAGTAAGGATCTGCATATAAAAGAACATGAGGTACTTATTTTTTCTTAGTCTAGGTAGCCTCATTCAATGGAATATTTCTGGAATCTACCCATTTCCTTTAGAGTTTTCAATTTTATTATTCTTCTCAACTGAATAAACTTCCATTATGTGTATGTACTGTGTTTTTAATTATCTACGTCGACAGGCATCTAGGTTGGTTCCATTTCCTTGTTGTTGCCAACAGTGCAGCAATAAACATAGAGGTATAAGTGTAAGTGTCTCTATGGTGGGATAGTGGGTCCTTTGGGTACCTGAGCCAGGCATAGTACAGTTTCATGAGAAACTGACACACTGATTTTCACATTGCCTGCTTAAGTCTCTCACCATCAGCCAATGAGGCTTCTTCTTTTCCCACACCCTCGACAGTACACGACATCCCTTACTTTTGTGATGACAGCCATTATGAGTAGGATGAGAAAAATTTAAGAGTAATTCTAATTTTTATTTCCCTGATGGCTAAGGATGATGAATGCTTCTTGAAATATTTATCATCCACTTTGTCCTTAATTGGATGCTGTATCAATTTTGTCTTAAAGTTGATTTAGCTACTGAAATTTAAAGCACTGTACTCTACAGTTTTCCCATTTTGGAGTGTAATAAATTGGCTTCATTAGTATTATTCCATGGTCCTTACTTTCCACTAGGTGCTAAGGAGAAAAGCTCTCCATGGGTTTTGAGGTGAGTAGGTCGACCAGGGACCAAATTGCCAGATGTAAGTGATGAATCTAGGCATTGTGGACCCAAATAATTTAGGATCCTGTTTTCTCTGTGTTCCTTTCATTATGTTGGCATTTTGTGGAGTTTTGCCTGATGACAGAGATATTTCAGTAAAAGTATGTGGTTTTGGTCAAGCTCGTCATTTCCCAGACTTTACATATGAACCTCTAAGGGGATGCTATTAACTTCCAGATCCAGGGTAGCACTTAAGCTGTCTCTGAGAAAATCCCAATGATGCTCGTAATGCTAGCTTGGGGTTCATAGTCTGGTGATAAAGACTTAGAAGACGGCATGTACCGGATAGTCTGATAACATCGAATTAGGCCTAGAGACACAAGTACATCAACTTCACTGTTGCCAGTGGGAATTTCCCAGGTTTCTCTGCTGACTATGGGATCAGTATCCAAATAGAACATGGAACCTGAACAGGTGCTAGGATGGTGTGAAGTAGACACAATCACAAGAAATCAACAGAATCCACGTGCTTCCTGGTTATGGGAGAGGGCGCTTTAAGAAGAATGCTTAGTGCTTGCCCGATCCAGTTTACCTGAAGCCTATATGGACGAACACAAAGCTTTCTCCCCTAAACCATAACAGGCAGTTTTCCTCCATCCTAAGAGATGTTATGTGAGCAGATGTAAACACTGAGAACAAGCCTGGTTTCCAGTGGCCCATGCCTAGGATCGAAGAAACCACATTTCTTAGATTCTCAACAAAAGCCTACTGTGGGGGGGGGGGGGGGCTCCTAGCTCAGAGCTACTCTGAAGACATGTTCCAGTGTTTTTTTTTTTTGGAGGACTAGAAGACAGCCTGGTCATTATTGTTGTTCTGTTTCACACACCTAGAACCCAAGGCAGAATCATCCATTCCACAATAGTTGGGGGAGGCCCTTGTACATGGAGGTCTGTCCTGACGATATGCTGAGAGGCCAGGAGGAGCATGAAGAGGAAGGTCAGATAGGAAGCTGTGTGGCAGATGAACTTGATAAAGGGCTTCTTGATGAAGAGCCCAAGGTTGCTCCTGGGTGAGATCAGATAGGCAATAGACAGCATAGGAAACAGGAAGCCAATGGTCATACAGGTCACAAGCTTGACTACCCAGTGCTTTCTCCGCCATCCAGGGAAGCCATCATACCACAAGGTGGCAAGCAATTGTTGGCAGTTTGGCTGAGCAACAAACTAGGGGAAAAGAAAAGAGAGACAGAGAAAGCAAACACGTTAGGCATCTAAGATGTCCAGGAAATACTCAATGTTCATATGTTCTTGTCTTCTCCAGCAAGAGACAATGTAACCAATCACAGTGGAGGCTGAAAATCATGAAAAGCACATTGAAAAATTTAATTCCCAGGTCCATTCCTGACGGAGTCCTTAAGGTGTGGAGAGATAGCGCCTGGACATCAGTTTTCTAAATTTTCCTGGGAATATGCGTGCCTCTCAGCTGAGAATCATGGGGATTTTTATTTCAGACTGATTTGCTTCTACGTATTCCCATCACCTACATGTGGTCACCATCAAGTGTGCAGTTGGTTTAGGGAAACACAAACTGCTGGAGAATAAGCCGTGCCTGTGGCTATGGTTTGAAATGGAAATTAGTCCCCTTTTAATTTCGCCTCTTTCCCATTTTGTTTTGGGTTGCAACAAATCGTGTTGCTACTTTGCTATCTACTTAATACCCTTTCTAGCTTAGATATACAACACGGGAAAAATATTTGGGGGCCAACACTATAATATTGTATACTAACCCAGCTGGGATTTGACTTAAGGCCATTTACAAAGTGTCACTGATTAATAATTAAAGCATAATCAGCAAGGCAAGTCACCCTGCAGCTGCTACTTCCTGGTAAGTGACTCAATAGGGAGCTCAGCTGGCAACCAATGATTTGAAATACTGCCTACATTTGACTATTCAAGCTTCCCAGTGGACAGATTAACATAGCTACATGGCGTAGCATACTAGTAGAGAGGACAGAAACCTGTTCCACCATTTAGCTAACACCTAAGGCAAACGATCCCAACCCTACTATTACATTTCCAATGATCAGAAATTTTCAGTTGAATCCTTCTCCTTGAGCACATGGGTAGACAATTTCCCAGCATTCTTGGCCCTGGGACTAAATCCTCATTAATGGCATAGGAATAGAAATGATGTGTGACAGTTGAAGGATTGGCCCATAGACGGTTTCCATTTGTTCCTGTGACCTTACCCCATTTGGGGACTTTTGTGAGTTCATGCCCCTCATTATCCATGAGGAAGATTACTGTCATGCTGACCAAGAATGTTTATATTGAACCATTACATGTCTGAGAAAATTCTCTTGTTTTTAAGTCACCATATGTTTTTAGGTTTAAAGCAGATGAAAATTATGAAACTATGAAAAATAATCTCTATGACTAAAGAGACAGCTCAGTGTTTGAGAACACTTGTTGTTCTTGCAGAGGACCTGGGTTCAGTTCCAAGTCTCAACGTGGCAACTCACAACCATTTGTAACACTCTGGTTCTAGAGGATTTAATGTTCTCTTCTCACCTCTGTGGGCACCGGGCACATATGTGGCACACATATACAAACAAAGGCAAAGCACTCTCATACACAATTTATCAAATGCTTTCTAATTTCCAAATGTTTTTATTCTCTGACATCATTTCACCCAAATATGTTTATAATTTATATTATGTACCTATAACTCCTTTCCACAATTCATACACAAAATCAAATAGACCCTTTTTACTTTTCTAGGCATCACAGACTATGCTAAAGAAACCCAAGAAGATATAGGAAAACTGGAGGGTAAAGCTAGAACTTCAGATGCAATGAAAAAAATTTAGTCTCATGAAGAGCACAGTGTATGAAGAGTGGGATGCCTTGTTTTTTAAGTTTTTAGTTTATTAGTTCTCTCTTTTGAAATGTGCCTCATCATGGCAGACTAAGTCACTGCAGGATTTTAGTCTTCTTCCTTTTTGCTAGCTCTAATGTTGGCCTTCGCAAACGCCCAATCCACGACCTTTGTTCAATGTGACTTTGTGTTCCTTGCACTGTTTTTTTTTCTCAAATAGATTATGCCTTACAATCTGTATTTGGGCACATTCTGCTTGCCTATTTAAAGGATTCATAAATCATGCCAAATCCAGTTGTCTTACCACCATAATGGGTTCTGAATCCAAATGCAACAATGACATCTGGTATGGTCTTATGTATTTTGGCTAGCAGTGGCCAAATTTCTTTCTTCAGTGCTGTTGGTTTTCCAGAGTGAAGGGCATAGACAACCATTTGTTTCTTCTGAGGTAGATGGTTGGCCATCAATTTCCTGATCTTGACAATTACAGTGCCATTCATGATGATGGCTGTCCTCAAGCAGCCAAGGAGGAATGAGGGACACTTTTGTGATGGACAGCAACATGAATGCACAAGGAAAGACTACCCTCCCAAGACAGTTTTACAACCGTGCAGCACAGGAACTGCAAGGGGTATGGATGGGGCATTACAGGGAACACAAATGAGGCTTCCGGAAGGGTAGGGCAGCACCTGAGTGGAGTATAAAGGATGTGTAGAAGATGGCTAGATACAGGAGAAGAGAGGGAACAGGAGAAAACAACAAAGGCAGAGTGGATGATATATCCAAAGGCATCGAAAGAGGTGAAGAAGAGTATTATTCATCTTGGGAACAGATTTGGTGTGGCTGCAGCTTGTATTGTGAGGCTGGCTGTAAGTGATAAAAGATGAGACTGGGGGTAGGGAGGGGTCAGACAGCATATCAAATGATCTAATCTTGAGACACCATAAATAATGCAGACTAGCACTAAGAGCAATGGGGAAACATAAGGAGTGTAAGTACGTGTATGGACACACAGGCACGCATGTTTGCATGTTTCTTTAATAGTTTGTAGAACAGAATACTGGTATCATTTTCATTTTACAGATGATGACAATGATACCAAGATACATTTGTTGGTAGAAGGTAAGCCAGAACTGATACCTTAGTCCGGCTGACTTTATGGGCTAAGCTCACAAATACCGTGTTCTCTGAGACTCCTTGGGTAGTATGGTATGAGACAGAGAAAACTGGATTTCTTCATATCTTGCTCGTAGGCCTTGCCACACTGATAGAAATGCCCACATCACTTACTGCTGTGGGAGAAGCATCAAAATTTTACTCACATATTTAGAAAGTGGAATATATGGAACTATTAAATACTGTTAACAGTTTCCAGTTAGCATATTATATTATCCAGTTAAGGAACCAGCCTGCCAGTAAAGACTAGAGATGAGTGTAAAATACACCTAACAGTGGTTTAGACTATAGTATTCTATAAAATATATTGGTTCAACTCCTGGCTCTGCTATGTATTAGTTATATAATTTTGAACATTACTAAAATTTTAAGTTAATCATTATGGAATATCTTTTCATTTATTTGGTCTTTATTTCTCCTAACCATGTCTTATAATTTTCACATCTTACATTTAATTCTTTAATTCTATTGGTTAGCATTTTATTAATTTCGATGCTATTTCTTTTCAAATTTAATTTTGGATAGCTTAGTGATACTAACTAGAAACTATTTAGAGATAAAATTTTAACAAATTTAGTTAAAGCACTGAGCTTTTAGTCACGATTCATAAATTGAGACAACCTGTATTCTACAACTAGAAATGAAAGCTCCCACTAGACAATGGCAGAACAATGGACTACATAAAGGAGGGAGAAGAAAATAAAACAAAAAGAGAAAAAAGCAAATTGCTAACATCAGGTTACTTCTGTTTACTTTTTCTGCTATCAAAATACAGAGAACTTCATTATTATGTGGACTCAGGTAGACTGAACCTCCTGTTCTCCAAAATACTCATCTACTTTGAGTAATATCCGGATCCTTAAAGTGTTTGTTTGATTATGTGACAATCAGTGTAAGTGACTATTTTGTTTTGGTCTAGTCTGTTGAAGCCTAGTTTCTGAGCTCAGTTCAAAACAATGTCTCCTCCATGGTTATTGTTCACTGATTTTGCATATTGATATTGTATGTTGTAGTTGTAACCATCTTACTTATTAGAACTAATAGTTTTGGTTGTTGTTTATTCCTTAGAATTTTCTTGATACCAGATTATGTCATCTGGGAATAGAGTTTTAATTCTTCCTTTTTGAATTGGATGCTGCTTTGTTCTTTTTACCTAACTGAACTAATGACTATCTCTAGTAAAGTGATGAAATAGCGAGGGTGTGAATATATTTGTCTTAATTTAGATCTTGGGGCAAAAAGCCTTTCATAGTTTTCCATAGTTAGCTTTTATCTGGTTCTCTTCTAGTTACACTTTTCACATGTTTCAATCATGACAGATTGTAGGATTTTATCAAGAGCTATTTTGTGTGCCCACCAACGAGATCTTATTTATGGGCTTTATCCTTTTCTCCACTACTACATTAGATTGGTTGATTTTATGTTGAATGGCTTTCACATTCCTGGGATACATTCCATTTGGTTAGGTGTGTGATCCTTTTTATACATTGTTGCAATCAGATTGGTTTTGTTGTTTATTCTATTATTATCCCCAACTATTATGGTCGGCCTCAGGCAGACTAGTTTTTAAACAACTGTTGCTTATGCTTTCCAAAATGCCCCTGAAAGGGCTGCTGGTGTAAGAAGGCAAGGGCTGTGACTGACACTTATCTTTTTAGAGAGTTGCCTAACAGTCATACTGACAGTTCTCTAGGGATAGGTTTATTCAGAGCCATCTATTATCATTCCGCTCACTCCAGTGGATGCCAGGTGCTGACTTTTCACAGATACTGTGGCAACAGGGATTTTGGCTTTCCGTGTTGCTATGGGCTGGGTAAAGGAAGATGAGAACAGGATCTGTTAAAATGCTGCAAACCTTGCTGTTCTTCCTGATATTCAGCTGGTTTCTTTGGATAAATTAATCTCTGATTGTTGGAAGCTTTTGGGTCATATCTACAGTTCTAGGGGAAAACGTCAATTTTAAGGAAATTCTCAAGGTCTTGGTGCTATTTTGTAAGAGTGAATTTTCAGAAGTCCGGACTTTGCCATTCTGAAAGTGTTTCTTGTGACTTTTTAACTTGTCATGTGTGAGAATTGGGGGAAATGGTACATTTATTTCCCAATTCTTCTGTTCAGGAACATCAAAAGAAATAAACGAAACCAATAAAGCAAAGCAAAATGAAGTTTAAGG